GTTGGTTCCAAAGATGATGAAGAATGGAGTGTCATTTATTAACCTTCCGCTTAGACCCCAATTCTCTGAGTCCTTTGATTATCTTATCCTGAAATTCTAATTAATGGTGTGTTAGATCCCATTCTGTTCTCCATGTCTCTCAACTTCCATTTTACATTTGCCATAGTTCTGTCTCCCTCTGTTCTTCATTCTGGGTGATTTCCTTCAGTTCATTAATTCTCTCTCTAGTTGTGTGTAACTCCTCCTTTTGGATGATATCCTTTTTCTTGCTCATGCTTTTTATTTCCTTTTCCCCTTTCTTTTTACACTTGAAACTATACCGTAATCCTAGTATGTGAGGCGCTAAATGAAGTCATTTGACAGTTGTCTTTACTGATCCTTGCTTGGGGTGACTGTTTCCTTATGTCCTTTACAATTCCATGATGTGACCTTGTGTTTGGCTGAATTTTATCTGGGGGACTCCTGAGGGACTTGGGCGGAGGATATGCCTGGTGGGTACAACCAGCGTTTGCTTCTACCTGTCACCATGTACACTACAAATCTGGAAGCACATCAGTCAATTTCTTAAGTCATACTTTCTTAGACTCTCCAGGTATGCAAAATCTAGCCCTAAATCCAACATTTTAGGAGAGAGTTTTAACCTAGTCAGTTTTAGACGAGGCTGAAAACAATTCCCTCAATGACTCCCTTTGCTTTGAGCAGTTTTCCTGTGGAAACCCTTTTACTGACTCTTTGGCTATGTCTACATTACACAGGGGTCTCTGTTGTGACTCTCACCTTGGTAAGGGCCTAAGGTTTTAATGACCTCCAAGTCTGGCTTCAGACACTGGCAAGTCTCTAAAGAGTATCTAGTTCAGAGTCAGCTCATTGCTACATTTTTCCAGTGTTAGTAGTTTCTTTGTGGGAGGTATTTTCACTACCTATTTGTGTCAAGATCAATTCTGTCTTTCAGAGAAGATCTGGTGTATTTTGTCCAGCATTTCTAGATCTCGGGTTTCTTTGTTCATGACATTTCCAGAAACAGAAATCTCCTGTGTGAGCACACTGAATAATATTGATTAATATGGCACCATGTTCCATGGGACCATAATCATAGGTAGTGGATTTCTGCCATGCTGATGGTCATCTGCTGTATGGTTTGGATCTTTAATGTGCCCTGGAAAGCTCATGTGTTGGTGCAGAAATATTCAGAGATAAGATTATGAGAGCTGTAACCTCATCCGTGGATTAATGCACTGGATTGATTCATCATTTGAGTGGACGACTGGATTGTAACTGTAGGTGGTGGGGCATGGCTGAAGGAAGAAGGTCACTGAGGGTGTGCCCTGAGAACTATACCTGGCCCCTCACTCATACTCTCTGCTTCCCAGTTGCTACAAGTGGAGAAGCCTCTTTCTGCCATGCCCACCATAATGTCTTGTTTCACTTCAGACTCAGAGCAAAGGAGCCCATTGATCATGAGCTAAACCTCTGAAATCATGAACCCCCTAAATAAACTTTTCTTGCTCTAAGATGTTCTCATCAGGTATTTTGGTCACAGAGATGAAAAGCTAACACACCCATTTATTGGAACATCTTTCCATTTTTGGGAAGCTTTGCACATTGTGGACGTGCACTTTGCAAGGTAGAAGTCAGAAGTAATTTCTCCAGATTCCTGTACAGATGTAGGGGCAGGGCATGTCTCATAGACTCTGCCACTGATGCTTCAATGTCAAGCTTAGATTTTGCAAGGAACAATGTGAAGAGCAGGAATACACAGGCCCGTTCTTTGGTACAAAGAGCTGCTGAATTGTCTGTTTTACTGAGGAACGGTTGCAAAGATTGTGGAATGCAGTGCTCAGCACCATCCGTGGGCACTGCTGCGCTGCCCTGTACCGTCTTTGCAGATACAGTCTTGTGACGAGTGACACTCGACTGTGTAGCTTCTGATCTTGACCTTCTGGCCTCCCCAGAGAGGGTGTGTGAGACCTAACATTCTATAATAAATTTTCTTTCTGCTTAAACCAGCTAAGCGGGTGATTGTGTTTTCAATTATGGACCCTGACGGATGCCCTGTGGATATAGCCATGTGCAGAGGTTTAATTATGAAGACTAATTCCACAAGCTCCGCACAGAAATCAATATCATCACGTAGAGTCCCGCCTCATTGAATTCTGCGAGCTAATGAAGAGATTTACAAACTCAGATTATCCGAATAAATTCGATATTTAGAAAGGCAGAATAATTAAGAATTTTAAAAGATCCTGTTCTTATCAGCAATTTTGTTTCAATAGCATTTTAATACATGCAGAGTTCTATTGTCTCATTCAAACTTAAAGCTTTATATGGTGTGTGTGTGTGTGTGTGTGTGTGTGTATGTGTGTGTGTGTGTGTGTGTGTGTGTGTGTGTGTGTGTGTGTGTGTGAGTGTGTTTCAAGTTTGGTTTGATCTGTGGCTTAGTTAAAAATAAGAAAATGAATCTTTGGTTCCAGTTGGGATTTTATATAATTTCTTGCCAAGGTTATTATTACAAAGATACAAAGAGGTCAGCGTCGTGGAGATAAATAATCACACTGATTTTCCACATGATATCCCACGGCACCACTGGTAAATAAGGACTACACATCTCATCTCCATTGCATTTCACCTCTACTCCCTCTACTAGGGATTTCCTCCCCATCTGTTGTCTCCAAAGACCTAGATTAGAGCTGTCCTTTAGAGCTCCCTTTTAATGTCACCTCCTCCGTCACACCTTCTCTTCAACAAAGCAGAAGGAGTTAGAAAACTGTCCCTTCTCAGGACTCCTCAGCCCCTATTTAATATTCCTGTACAGGTCTGTAACCGGGGCACCTCTCTCTCCTTGAAGGAAGGTGGAAGAGTCGCTCAAGGGCGGTCTTTCGGGTGTTGGTCAGTCAGTCCCAGGCCTGGTTCTCTTTGCTTTCCCCGTCTCTGCCATGCAGAATGTGCTGGTGAAGGGAGGCAGAAGGTGGGGTGGGAGTGGGACAGTCGCTGATGCACACCTCATCATCTTGTTGGCTCCCACACACAAGTGGAACGACAAAGGTGGGAAAGCTAGCTCTTTACGTCTCACCAGTCATCCAGATTTATAATCCAAACATGCCTGGTCACAAAGGCTAGTTTACTTCTTCTCCCAATATATTAGCCCTTCTGTTCCTGGCCCAGGACTCACTGCTAGGCCCTGGAGTCCAGCCCCAGAAAGCACCAGCTTTGAGTGGCAGGGTCCATTCCTTACCCGTATCCCTGTTCCCACCCATGCAGCTATTTTAACCCTTTTCCTCCATACCACCCACACCCACCGTTCTGCCTCCTCTTGTATCTAAACTCCTCGTCAATTATTTTCTGCTTCATTTCATTCTCCTCTTGGATTGGTGGCAGTGGGGAGTTTGGAAGGTAAAATAGAAGGAGGGGAGGAACATCTCACAGGTGGCGGACCGTCAAGTGGAAGGTTTAAAGGTAACATAAGATCTCTCAGGAGACAAACGCCAACCTCCCACTCAAATATCTGCTGCACCTTATCGTGCCGCAAAGACAGTCCCTTTCCGAGATCAGTATGTCACAACAGCGATGACGAAAATGCTTCTATGACTCTAGCCTCGGTAGGCTTA